TATATATAAAGACCAATAATGGCAGTATGTTATGCATCAATAGCAGCAACAGCTTTTCCAGGTTCTGCAGTCATTTGAACAAAGTTGTAGAGACATCCAGCACACTCCATTTTAAAAAAAAAAAAAGTAAAAAACAAAATCCCAGAAAAACAGCACAGTTCTGTTACTCTTGTGGTACCTGGCACCATTTTTTTTTTTAAATTAGCTTCTCAATCATCATCTGGAAGGAAACCATTCTGAGCAACATCATTAAAAACAGCTCTGATAAAGCACGGTCACTACTATGTTTCATAAAGCAGGTCCACATATGAGTGAGTATATATCATATTTGTCTTTTTGTGATTGGGTTACCTCGCTCAAAATGGTTTCTTCAAGTTCTATCCATTTTCCTGCAAATTTCAAGATTCCATTGTTTTTTTCTGCTGAGTAGTACTCCATTGTGTAAAGGTACCAAATTTTCTCTATCCATTCTTTGGTTGAGGGGCATCTAGGCTAGCAAAAGTTTTATATCTTAAGATTTTGTTAACCATATGTGTGTGTATAGAACTCGAAGAGACCCACCTACCTTTGCCTCCCAAATCCTGGGATAAAAGGAAAAAGCCTCACTTACTGTATATTTTAAGCTTGCTTTGGAAGTGTACAATTTTTTTTCTTTCTCACATATTGTGATAATTAGTATAGAGTAGCATAATTTTGATTTCTTGTGGTCTTTTACTAACAATTCAAAGTAATTTAACATATTTTTCCAGAAGGTTAATTTAGTAAATGTTCACTAATTTAGAAGGTTGGCTAAATGACAGAGTATTTTCAAAATATTTTTATTTAGCCAAAACTACAAGAAAAAGAACAAATGTTGATGGTTCACAATCATTTGTAACTCCAGTTCCTGGGGATCTGACACCCTCTACTGGTCTCCAAAGGCACTTGCATGCACATGGTGCTCAGACATGCACAGCAATGCACAATCTTTTTTTTTAAGGAACTAATGTTATGGAGTGGTGGTGCACGCCTTTAATACCAGCATTCGGAGGCAGAGGCAGGCGGATCTCTGTGAGTTCCAGGCCAGCCTGGTCTACAAGAACTAGTTCCAAGACAGCCTCCAAAAGCCACAGAGAAACCCTGCCTCGAAAAACAAACAACAAACAAAACAAAGGAACTAATGTCGACTCAAAAGCAAATCTAGTTTAATTAGCATGCAAATTAGTTTTTTGACATAATTCAAAATGTTTATCCACTGGCTAGAGAGTTGGCTCAGCAGTTAAGAGCACTTGTTGATCGTGCAGAGGACCGGGGTTCAATTCTTAGGACCTACACAGCAGCTGACAAGCACCTATGTCTCCAGTTTCAGGGAATCCAACGAAACCAGGCGTGTATAGGGTGCACATGCATACATGCAGACAAAACACTCATACACATGAACTAAATGCATCTAAAATATGAAAGTTAATCTCTTCGACGGTTTCCCTTCTATTCCTATCATATTGCACTTACAACTCGAATCACTCAGTGGCTGGCCCACTGCACTCTGCTGTCTATCAGCTCTGCAAACCCTTTCTTCCGAAGCAATTCGTATAGCCAGGAGGGCTAAGGCCCAGCTTCTGCAACAGAGGACACAACAAAAGATGCCTCAGGTGAGCCCAGAGGATCTGAGCCACGGGGCAGAAGCTGTTGAGTTATGGGTCTGAACTGAGTAGAATCATCTGGTCCCTGCTCTTCTACATCTTAGTTTCGTCTCACTGACTAATATGCATTTCATTCCACCCACCCATATTATCACCAGTTTTAACTAATGATTCTTTAATGTATTCACATAAAAGTATTTTAATTCAAATATTTCAAATTTTGCTTTTCTTAACCATCCCCCCCAGGAAACCTAGTGATTTGGAAAAATACATTCATGGTTAGGAATGGCGAACACGATGAACGACATGTGTTATGACGTGTATTATGCTTTGCAGAAAATGGCATACATGCTGAAATTGAGGTTGCTTCTGAAAGAAACTATCTCTTCTTGTTTTTTGTTCAGGATCCCCCACCCCCACCCCTCCGGCTTTAAGAGTCTCTTACTATGCTGCCCAGGCTGTTTTCTTTTTTTGTGTTTTTTGGAGACAGGGTTTCCTCTGTGGCTTTGGAGGCTGTCCTGGAATTAGCTCTTGTAGACCAGGCTGGCTTCAACCTCACAGAAGTCCCCCTGCCTCTTGCCCAGGCTGTTTTCAAACTCAGTCTTAGGGTTGGCAAGATGGCTGAGTGGCTAAAGGCACTTGCTGCCAAGCCTGATGACCTGAGTTTGATCTCAGGAATCTACTTAGTAGAGAGAGGACCTATTCCTGTACTAATTCCTAATGATCTCTCTTTACGCTCTCGGGGCATGCCTGAATGCTCTGGGTGGGGGATGCGCAGGCACGCACAGGCGCGCGCGCGCACACACACACACACACACACACACACACACACACACACCCTCCCCTCAGTGGTTCTGTTTCTCTAAGGAGTCCTAATGCATACATATTCATTTATTCAATCTACCCAACTGTCCTGACAACCACTATTATCTCCAATTTACACAAAAGGGAACAGAAGTACAAGGGCATTTCATGACATGTGCAGGGTCGTATAGACATCAAGAAGTGGGGCAGGACTTACTTGGCTTGAAATGAAATATTTTGTAGCATTACTGTCACCTTCATTATTATTATTTAACCCCTATTTTAAAAGTCACCACTGGGCCAGTGAGGTGGCTTTACTGGGTCAAAGGCTTACTGTACAAGCTTGATGGCCTGAGTTTTTCATTCCTGGAACCTATGCTGGAGGGACAAAACTAATTCCCAAAGTTGTCTGACCTCCACACATGCTCACACACACTCTCCCTCTCACACACACACACACACACACACACACACACACACACACTTTAAAAGCTACTATTCTAGTGTCCCAATTTGGTTTCTGTTGCTTTAATAAAACACCAACTACAAGCAACTTGGAGAGGAAAGCGTTTATTTCATCCTACAGTTTATAGTCCATCACGAAGGGGAACCAGGGTAAGTAAATCAGGAACTGAAGCAGAGGAAAACAGTTTAGTGGCTTGCTTTCCATGGCTAGCTCAACTTGCTTTTCTCTACAATCCAGGACCACCTGCCCGACGTTAGCACTGTTCACAGTAGGCTGGGCCCTCCCATGCCAGTCATTAATCAAGAAAATGCTTCACAGACTTACCCACAGGCCAGTCTGTCTCACAGAAAGTCATGTCAAAGCTATTTTCTTGAGGCTGGGAAGATGGCTTTGTGGTTCAGAGAGAGTACCCCTTTTGCAGAGGACCTGAGTTTGGTTCCCAGTACCTGGGTCAGGAGGCTCACAATAGCCTGTAACTATAGCTCCAGAAAATCTGAGGCCCTCTTCCAGCTTCTTAGGGCAACTGCACTCATGTGTACATATACACAGACATACACATATAAACATAGTTAAAAACAATAAACATAAACCTTGGGGGCTGGGGAGATGGCTCAGAGGTTTGGAGCACTTGTTGCTCTTGCAGAGGACCTGGGTTCAGTTTCCAGCACCCACAGGGTGGCTCACAACAATCTGTAACTCCAATTCCAGGGATCTGATGCCCTCTTCGGGCCTTCATGGGCACCAAGTACACACACACACACACACACACACACATACATAAAATAAAATAATCAATCTAAAGAATATCTTTAAAAATAATTTATTTACATGTGCATTTAATAAGCAACTGATTAAGTCGATAAAGACCATGGCAAAGGCTTCCAGCTCTCATCACACTCTCTACTCCAAGAAGTCAAAGTTAACATGGGCTAATGGCAAAGTGTCTCCACCTTCCTAATCTATAGCAGCATTTGTTCTTCATGGCTAGCACATGTCTTTTAAAACATAGGATGAAGTCGGGAGGTGGTGGCCCACGCCTTTAATCCTAGCACTCAGGAGGTAGAGACAGGTGAATCTCTGTGAGATCCAGGCCAGCCTGGTCTACAGAGTGAGTTCCAGGACAGGCTCCAAAGCTCCACAGAGAAACCCTGTCTCGAAAAGCCAAAAGAATAATAATAATAGGATGAAAATCACATGACTTAAAGGATATAGAGAAAGAAAACAGTGTGCAGTAAGGTCATTCAGAAAATGACTCTGCAGTGGAAGAATGTGTGACTTAAAAGTCGATACAGCGTCCTTTCCGTTCCCAGTCTCCATATCGTGTAGGCTCCGGGCCCCGGGGTCCGCCTTTTTCTTTGGTAACTGGATTAACATCACCTGGGAACTCTAAGGAAGACAGGAGATGTGTTAGAGGCAGTCAGCAGAGACGGAAGGCCAGGGCTGCACAGCTGGAGGAGAGTGCTGGTTTATCATACAGCCCGTCAATGAAGCCACTGAACATGTGGGTCTTCCCTCCCACTCCCAGACATGAGATATGCTTTTATCACAACCAATCAGCTTTACCACTGGCACTAATGGCTTCCAATTCTTGGAGTGCTTTCAAGTCTAGAAACTACTAGAAAGTAGTTTCATAAGTGGTGCTGAACCCAGCAGAAGGGAAGGAGTGAGAACAGTGCAGCTTCACTGACCTTGGAAGGATTAGAAACAAGTTCAGTGTCTCCATACACACACACACACACACACACACACACACACACACACACACTCGGGTGTGTGTGTGTGTATGTGTGGGGGTCTCTGTCTTACTTGCCTCTTAAAGCGTTGACCTGAACAAGGTAATGTATGTAAAGGGTCTAGCCCAGTGACAGGTATGCACAGGTGCTGACTGATTTTACTTGTGAGCACTATTGCTCCTTGACATACATAGGCTGTGGCTTCAGCAGGGGGGTTTACGAGCATAAGTGATGTCATCGGTCTTAACACCGTGTGTTCACTGGCTGGGAATACAGCTCAGAAATAGAATGCTTGTTTAGCATGAGTGAAGTTCAGTCTCCAGGAACAAACGCATGCACACATGCACGTATATCACACACACACACACACACACACACACACACACACACACACACACACACACACACACACTTTCCTGATAGGAATCCTCACGGTGAGTCAAGTCAAATTGTGAAGATTTTTATTTTTTTATTTTTTTATTTTTTTTTGGTTTTTCCAGACAGGGTTTCTCTGTGTAGTTTTGGAGCCTATCCTGGCACTCGCTCTGGAGACCAGGTTGGCCTCGAACTCATAGAGATCCGCCTGCCTCTGTGTCCCGAGTGCTGGGATTAAAGGCATGCGCCACCAACGCCCGGCTAAATTGTAAGGATTTTAACTTTTAATTATCAGTCAGTTTGGTTGCTTACTGTTTGATGTTGCTTACTGTTTGGTGTCGCAAATGTTGCCCAAGTTGGTGTTAAATGCTGAGGGTTAACCAATCCCTCTGTTATAACCTGATACTGGATTTTCAATTCTCAGCACTGTATACACATCCACTCACTCAGTCCACGTGCTTTCCATGTAAATCGGGAAACAGTGCTGCCCCATGTTTCAGGTGAGAAAAGGTGTTCAGTGTCACATGGCTCGTGAACAGTGAGATGGAGCCTGAATTGAAACTCACAGGTTGCACTGCTTTGTGTATAGAAAGAACAGATGAGGAACCAGCTGTTAGGAAGAACCTACAATCTTGAATGGTGTATATTTGGAAAACTAAAAGATCATTGCCCCAAATTATGCAGCCCCTCTGCAGACTAACCAAAGAAGATACAGAACTTCACCTTGAAACTTTCCAAATATTTCTTCAAGCTTTATTTTTGCTGCACTGTGCCTAACTCTTGCCATCATTCTGTTTTCTGGGGAACTTTTGTGACAGCCCCCTGAAAACCTGTAATGGAAGCTCTTCTTTGAACCCCCAATCCCACCCCCACCCCAATTCCTGGACTCTCTGGCTCTCTGGGTGTGATAGTTACCTGGGAATGCTCATACAAAATACTTTGTGTGTGTGTGTGTGTGTGTGTGTGTGTGTGTGTGTGTTTGTGTGTGTGTGTGGCTTATACAATAAAACTCTCAATGGGGATTGGGTTGGAGTGAGGGCCCTCTGTTCCTGAATATGGACTGTCCCTTCTTTCTGAATTGTCACATGGAAAAAAGGGAGACAGTGAGGTTTCCAGTGTCTCTCCTATAAGGAGAGACAATCCTCATTCATATGTTCTAAACCTAATTATCTCCAAATACGCTCACATTTGGGGTCAGGGCTTTAATAGTATGAGGAAAAAAAAAAAAGAATATGCTGAGATGCTGAGCTAGTTTTAGTGGTTTGCTTGTAGTCCCAGCTATTTAAGAAATGAATGCAAGGGAAATTTTTGAGCCCACTAGTTCCAGGTTAGTCTAGAACATGAGACCCTTAACACACACACACACACACACACACACACACACACACACACACACACACACACACACACGAGTGGACAAACACATTGAGATGCCCCTTCTCATTGCTGACCACCAAACTTTAATAGACTTAACTGAATCCCACACTATTCCCCTGCCCAATGCTTTCCTCTAGCTGGTAGTAACTCATAGACTTTTCTGTTTTGATCTGTAAGATGAACATGAGATTATAATGTCATCTCTCCCCCCTCATCCTCACACACTGAGGCCAGGGAGGTCCCTAAACCTCTTTATAAGGAGGCTTATCTCACTTGTACTCCCCCTGGACTTCCTTACCCCCTGAATGTTTCTCTTCTAATCTCACTCTTGAGCTCTTTCCTCTTTGACCACACCTCCTGTCTTCCCTTCTCCCCTGTTTGCGTTGGCTTAACTTTTGTGTTTGTTATACTCAGAAGTTTCTTGATTCTTCATCCTTCTATCACCACCTGCCTTATATCTCAGCGGCTCACTCTTAGCACTACAGTCATTTGCTGTGCCATCCGTGTTCTGCCTCTTACATCTCCAGCCGCATGTGCACAGAGGCTACAGCATCTTTCTAAAACAGATCTCTTCCACAGTAGCCTGAGTGAAGGATGCCAGCCACTCAAGACTATGTAGTCTCTCATTTATACAAAATCCTATAAAAAGCTAAACTACAGGGATTGAGAATGGATCGATAGTTGTGGGAAGAGGTGGGGATAGAGCTGATTAAAAATAAGCAAAAGGGGGCTGGAGAGATGGCTCAGAGGTTAAGAGCACTGCTTGTTCTTCCAAAGGTCTTGAGTTCAATTCCCAGCAACCACATGGTGGCTTACAACTATCTGTAATGAGATCTGGTGTCCTCCTCTGGCCTGCAGGCAACATGCAGGCAGAACACATAATAAATTAAATAAATGTTAAAAACAAAACAAAACAAAACAAAAGATAACTCTGTAGGGAATAAGAAAACTTACACTTAATGTTGTTTACATGACTGCAAACATTTGTGAAAACTCACAGAACTGATATTTAAATCACACTTTAAAAGAGCTGTCTAGACAATCTCCAGCCAAATATATTTTTTAAAAATTTAGCCATATGTGGCTTTAATTCAAACACTTGGGAGGCAGAGTAGGAGGATCTCTGTGAATTGGAGGCCAGCCTGGTCTACATAGGGAATTTCAGACCAGCTATCTAGGGCTTCATAGTGAGATCCCATCTCAAAACCAAAACCAAACCAAACAAAAACCAAACCAAGACAAACAAACACTCACCTGAAACATCTTTATTTATTTACTTTCTGAGATAGGACCTCATGTAGCCCAGGCTGCCTGCTTCCAACTTCCGAACCTCCTTCCATCTCACTAGAGCTGGAAATATAGCCATGCACCACCATGTCAGATTTATGGTCTTAGAATGAGGCCAAGGCTCCACTCCTGTTAAGCCAGCACTCCTCTTTTGAGCTACCCAGTTCCCTCACTAACCACTCCCAGATTTAAAATTTGTTTAAATTACATCAATAGCTTCTATACATATGCATATGTGTGCTGTGTTTTGTGTGTTCGCTATGATGTGAGGGTTGAGGTCAGAGGACAGTATTTAGGAACCAGCTCTCTCCTCCTACTGGGACTGAACTCAAGCTGTGGGGCTCGGCATAAGTATCTTTATCTGCTGAGCTATCTTGCTGGCCCTTATGCTCAGATTTGACATGAAACAGCCTGACATTCTATTAATCTACCATTTATACTTTATGTTGAGACCAAAGAGGCCACTTAACTGTGCCATGTTCTGTAATCTCTTCTTGTATGGCCATACCTTTCTCTCTCTCTTTTTATTTTTATTTTTTTATCATTTTTTAAATTTGAATTAGAAACAAGATTGAATTATATGACAATCCCAGCTCCCTTCTCCCTCCCTTCCTCCCCTTACCCCCCCCCCAACTAAAACATCTTTCTCTCTCTTAAACATCTCCCTAGCACATCTACTTATCATGGTTTTACGTTTCCTTTAACTTTCATTTGTCCCACCTTCTTCTGGTCATTCTAGTCTGTCATGCTAATTTCCATCAGATATGTATAGATAGCTATGTGTTTCATCTTCCATTTGCCCTGTCTGTCTGTCTGTCTGTCTGTCTGTCTGTCTGTCTGTCTGTATCTATCTATCTATCTATCTATCTATCTATCTATCTATCTATCTATGTATCGACAGAGTCTGGTAACGTATCTTATGCTGACCTAGCAATCACTATCTTACTGCGGCAGCCTCCTGGGTGCTTGCTTCCATGTGTAAGCCATTATGCCTGGCCCTTTTATCATCTTAGCAGTGAAATGTATGCATTGCAAAAGGATAGCCTAAAGTTTTTTCTTGGAATGAAACACGACAGGAAACCAAGACTCGAAGGAAACAAGCTAGATACAGCTTGCTTTGGGGCTTTACTGGGAGGGCATGGGGGGGGGTTGCTGAATTTGAGACAAGTTAAGAAGGGAGAACCAAAGGGACTTGGTTTATAATTGGCTACAGGAAACAGTGAGGCATGACTGAAGGGTTAACCAGGATGTCAGGCATGTGTGACTTGGTGGATGGAATCTACTGGAGAGCAGAATGAAAAGCAGGATGTGGGGACAGGCTGGCAGAGGAAGGGATGTGAGGGGAGACTATGGGGACAGAGCAAGTTTAGCTTAAGAAAGAACAAGTTTAATATGTCTGAAATACACACAGATGTTCAGGAGGTAAGACAGGACAACTGAGAACCATAAATGAGACATTTAAAGTCACCCGAGGAAGATATGGGATCTTCGGAGGCATGTAAGGGTGTGGACAGAAGCCTCACAAAACCCACATGTGTTGGGTTGAGACAAAGGAGTCTGAAAACAACACGGGAAGAAATGGCAGAAACAATGGATGAGAAGACGAAGAAAGCAAAACAGAAGCTGAGCTGGAAACTTCCAGAAGCAGTAGTTAACACTGCCCGAGGCTGTTGACTGTTCAGGTAAGGTTGAAAGGTGTCTCCTGGCACCGGGTGTTTGGCATTTTCTAAGGAATGGTGGCTTTAATGTAGCCACAAGACATTAAAAACTAAAGATGTGTATGTACTGATAACGCACTGTACGGGCAGTGCTATTATCTGACCTCTATCTAACTGGTGAGATTTGGAAGCCATGCGGAAGCCCAGATGCCAGCACTTCAGTCTCTAGAATTGCAAGACAAAATGAACCTCTTTCCTGCTTCTGATGTGCCCATATTCCTCATGGGATAGTCAATCTCAACTGTCAACTGGACAAGATGGAAAGTGACCCAGGAGACATCTCTGGGTGTTTCTATGAGAGAGCTTCCAGAGAGACAGAGAGATGCACCCTGAATGTCCACCCCACTCCATGCCTGGATCCTGGAAGCCTGAGAGCAAGCTGAGCACCAGCATCTGCCTCTCTGCTTCCTGACAATAGACACAAAGTGACTGTCATCTCACGCTCCTGTCACCATGCCTTCCTGTCATGATTGGCCGCACACTCTCTTACACCGTGAGCCAAAACAAACCCTGCCCTTCGTTAGCTGCTATTGTCAAGGATTTTGTCACTGCAATAAGAAAAAGTAACCAATACATCCCTTTCCCATCCTCCTATTGGTAATCCCAATAAATTCACTGACTCACCAATTGGACAGAATCATCCCTTTGGCCTACTAATGTCCTATCTGGGAATGAATTCATTTTTTAAAGGTCTCCCCATGAAAAGTCACCAAATACAATCAAATAAGAACAGGGACCAAGCCAAGGCTTGGAGATCCAGAATTTAGTTCCTAGCATCAATGCAGGTGACTCACATCCAATGGTTCTGTCAGCATGCACAAACCCACACTCAAAGACACACACACACAAACCCACACTCAAAGACACACACACACACACACACACACACACACAGAGTCATAAAATTAAAAATAAGAAAAACAATGATAGGGCTGGAGAGATGGCTCAGAGGTTAACAGCGCCGACTGTTCTTCCAGAGGTCCTGAGTTCAATTCCCAGCAACCACATGGTGGCTCACAACCATCCATTATGAGAGCTGGTGCCCTCTACTGATGTGCAGATATACATGGAAGCAGAATGTTGTATTCATAACAAATAAAATCTTAAAAAAAATAAGAAAAACAACGATAAACTATGTTTAGTCTATTACCACCTTAAAGAAAGAAGTATTGGCTCAGGACCCCCCAAGACCAAGTTCTAGGTACAAAGGAGACTTACTTGCCCCAGAGGGACAGAGGGCAAGGATAAGGGATGAAGACAGGAAATAGACAAAGAAGGGGAAGGGAAAGGGAACCAAGGAAAGCAGGCAAGGGTATCTGTCCTGGAGGACAAAGCAAAGGACTACCTCTGCAGAGAGAGGAGATAGACATGGCAAACAGGGAAATGGCAGTTTATAAAGGCACAAGGGAAACTCTGTGTTAGAATGAGGTAAACATTTTAACTGGACATATTAATTAGGTGAGCCAAAAGGGGCTTTTGACTGCTGGACTTCAACACTTTGATAGCTGGACCTTGGTTGCCCATCTCAGGAGGAAGTAGCCAAATAAGGGAACAGACCTTGGTAGCTAGCTTTAGGAATATAACTGTTTTTAGCAAGCCAGAGGAAATGGGGGAGAAGGACAAGACCTGTTAGAGCCACATGCTCGAGTGGGCTAGTGTCCCTTCAGATGCCACTTTCTGTCCAGTGGACAGATGACAGGGAACTCTGAAGGAAGGTTATTAAAGAGAATGAGAGATGTCTTCCCTTCAGTACGCAGCCCCGTTCTGTCATTTAATAAGGCCCAGCATCTTCATGCCTCGGCTTTACCTGTACATTAATGATTATCTACTGCAGCTGGCTTTTTTTCCAGCAGAAAGTCTTATCAACAATGCAGGTTTGTTATTGGGTCACAGAAGACACCAACTTTTATGTTTCAATTTTTGAATAATGAAAGTGTAGTTAAAAACAAACAAATTAAACTAAACAAACAAAATCCCCAAATAACTAAATAAGGACTAGAATTTAGAAACCCTTTCTTTGAGACAGTCTATGTTGCTCAGGCTGGCCTCACATTCTTGACGTTCTGGCATCAGTTTCCAGATATGTGCCACCATTTCCAGATTTAGAAACATCTTTATGGTGGGGGTCATATGTGTATGTCTATATGCCTATGTGTATGCACGTGTGACGTTTTTATGTGTGCTCTTGTGTGTGTGTGCATCCATATACTTTGTGTGTGTGCATCCATGCACGTGTGTGTGTGTGTGTGTGTGTGTGTGTGTGTGTATGCAGAGGCCAGAAATTGCCTTCAGGTGTTTCCCTTGCTTGCTCTCCACCTTATATAGTGAAGCAAGGTCTCTCCCATGAGCCCAGAGACTATCAATTCAAATAGTCTAGGCAGCCGACTTGCCCATGGGATCCCCTGTGTCTGCTGAATAATGGAAATACAGTGAGTTGCCATGGCTGTCAGCACAAAAGTGCTGCAATCTAAACTCTGGTTGGCCCACATACATGCCCTGCAAGTACTTTATGCACTGAGGCATCTCACAACCCAAAACCCCTTTAAAGAAGTAACAACCATGCCTACAGATGGTCCATATGTTGTTTTGACTCATTGAAATATCCTTTATAACTGTTAGTAACAATTCAGAGCACATTTCACTTCTTGCATTCATTTTCTAGTATGGAACATTTTCTTTGCTACATTAAACACTGAGAGTGTGTAACTCTACTCACTCTTCAGTGGCTCCCTCTCCATGTGCAAATCCTCCGGAGCATCAAAACGACCAACAGGCAACTTTGACTTCTTAAGAGGTTGCTTCACGGGTTCAGATTTTCCTTCTTGGTAACTCACTTTCCTCAAAGAATTTTTCAGAAGGGAAGATCCTAATGCAGAAAAAATGGACTGATTTTGCCTACTTGTGTTTTGACCATTTATCAAAGTTCAAGAAGGACAAATGACATACAGTGAAAATTGTTTCCCGAACACCTACATTCTACACAGCTATTTCCCATCCTTAGAGGTACCCAGTGTTACAAGTTAGCAAAGACCTATAAAGTAAGGAGGTGGACAAGTACTCGGAACAGCTTATTAACCTAGGACTGCATCTGGTTTGGAATATGCACATGATCCTCTTCTAATAATGTAATTGGCAGCCTAACTTCCCTACCTACTATGCACACACACTTCTCTCCAAGAGATTCACAAAGTTTCCCTGCTACTTTGCAATCCGTGGGCTTTCAATTCAGTTCCTTGGATAAGGAAACAGTTGGCTTGCCCCAACTCTAACAGCAGAATCAATATAACAGCATCCTTTAGAAACGTATATTTTGTCCTGGGGCATGGGAAACACACCAGAAGTTGTAGCACCCTATGTTCTAGTATTGCCCAAGTGTCCATAAGGGGAATGGAAAATGTATCAAACAAAAGTAAAAGATACCACCTAACATTTCTGTATGGAGTGATCTTCAAAAAAAGTAGTTGAAACAAAGCAATGAATGAAAACTGCACCAAACCATTTCCATGGGAAAATGGGTTCATTAATGTTCCTTTTGCTTTATACTTTATATATGTGGTGTGTGTGTGTGTGTGTGTTGTGTGTAATTTCTGCTATCAAATACTACATAATTGCTTAAAAACAGCAAATGCTGGATAAATACTAAAGTATTAAAGTTATCACCTAAGGGTTTGGAGCCTTTCATTTTGCATAATACTCATTGTATAGATCATTTAAGATTTTAACAACCTATAGTTATCAAGTATTTGAAAGGAAAAACTAAACTAAAACTGAAATTAAACTAGTTTAATTAAAAATCGGACCACTTGTTAAGAAAGCAGTAATTCTGTCTTCAGTTTTAGGGATGTCATCAAATTTAACATCCTGCATCCTCTTTGGGACGCTAACTTAGGAATATAATGAGACATAATGCAACTGTTTTGAAAACGTTGGTCTCTATAGAAAGCACGCAGGCATCTCTTCTAACAGTTCTCGGCTTCGTGTACTTTTCGTTATGTGCACTCATCTGACTTTGGCTTAGGGAACATTCCGACCAGACTGACCTTGAACTCGAGATCCTCCTGCCTCTGCATGCCTAGTGCTGGACTAACGGCATGCACCCCCTGCCTGGTACAAACTATTCTTGATGTAAGCAAACAAGTAAATTAATGACACTCATCCCCGAAGTCTCCTCCTTTTCCACATGTCCCCAGCGGCACCTGAGTGCCAGGCGCTCCTAGTCGCAAACCACCGAAGGTCCGCTCCCCTCCGCCAAGCACACCCGAAAGGCTCGGAACCCTGCCGTCACAGTACTCGGCGGCCGGGCCTCAGCCCCTGCGCCTTCTCATATCCGAAATCGGCCTCCCCCGCGGGTCCCCGAGTCTCGCGACCCTGGGCGGACCGCCTTACTTGTCGCTCTCCAGACGGAGGCCACCAGAGACCCCGCAAAGATCGTAGAGACCATACCGCCGTCTCCTGCAGCGTCTACGCACGCGCAAACAGTGGGCGGGGCCACCTCCGACCTGGACCGGAAACCCGCGCGGTCTGCGCAGGCGTCAGAGAAAGCACAATTGGGCGGGGCTTCGCAGTGTCCGCCAGACTGACCCGGCCAGTTTTCAGGCCACCCTAAACTGCCTCCTGTAATTCTGTATGGCTACACCCCCAGCCACTATCCGACGCAGTCCCCGGCGATCGCTCATAGCCATTCCGATGAACTCAAAGGCAAAACCAAAGTCTGCACGGAGGTAACAAGTTCTAAAGTTCACACCACCCTAGTGTGTAGTGTCCTTAGATAGCTAGAGGAGGGAAGTTCAAAGTCCAACAAGGAGATGTAAACATGAATCACCCTAATCTGAGATCATTACGTTTTTAGACACGTAGTAATAACCTATATAATAACTAGATACTAGTGATTTTTAAAAGTTTCGTCTTCACATGCTACATAGAAGTATTGCTCCATAAATCTGAAGTTAAAATACCATTTAATTACATTGAACGTTCCCACATTTTGAAAATAAATTTGTTTATTTATTTATTTATTTAAAGACAGGGTTTCTCTTTATTGCTTTGAAACCTGTTCTGGAACTCGCTCTGTAGACCAGGCTGGCCTCGAACTCACAGAGATCCTCCTGCCTCTGCCTCCCGAGTGCTGGGATTAAAGGCATGCGCCACCACTGCCGGGCTTGAAAATAAAATTTTAATAAGTAAAGAATATCCAGTCATGTGAATTGACTGATGGTTGGAACTGTTCCATGTCAGGGATCTTTTTAAAAATATTTAAAAATACTGAGGGGCTGCAGAGATGGATTCTCTTTCAGTGGACCTGGGTTCTACTCCCAGCACCAGAATGGCAACTCACATGTTTGTAACTCCAAAGTGTCTGACACCTTCTTCTGGACTTGATTAGCAGTAGGCATGCATATGGCATACATACGTACATGCCAGCAAAACACTTATTAAAATTGAGGTAAAAACCTTTATAACCCCCCCACCCCCATTATTAGAAAGCAAGACAAATCCATAGCTGGATGGATGAGTTACTGCATTAAATCCCTGCTGTGGAGTCATAGTGTTGACCACCAAGAGCCACTGCAGCAACTTTCTCTTAGCACAGCTGTGTTTGCTCTGTGGATCCACCAGTACAGTAGCCATGGTGATAAGAACAAAGACACACGTGTACATTTTTAACTGCCTTTCCCCTCCCAGGACTGATTGGCGAGTACCATTACTAGTGGTAATTAGTAATTCTAATGACTGACCTGACCTGTGCTGTAGTATTAGGCAGTCCCAAAGACAGGTCTGATTACAAGGGAATCAATCCAACCAACCATCATGAAGAAGGTAGCAATCTACTCTTAAGTAATTATTGTGTTTAGACTGCTTTCCTTGAATTATCGTTCCTTTCATACACTTTATCTGTGGCCTTACTGGGAACTTTGTATATATACTACTTTAAACAAAAATGCTTATCAAAACTTTTCCCCTGTGAATGTAAATCTGATGTCTGGAGGATCCACCAATCCTATCAAGTATTCCATCTTCCAGAATTTGGCCTTGTAGGATGATGGACAGTTCTACATGTTTGGTTTTGGAGCCAGTATCATTCTGTCTCTTCTTAGAGATGAGGTTTAAATGACTGTTTTAAATCAAATAATTTGTCCAAGGTCCTCCAACTACAGAGATGTCAGTTTATGCCAGGGCTGAGGACCAATTTCTGTTTCGAAAGCATAAAACACCTTTACTGGGCCACACTGCTCATGCAGTCCCTATAGGTCTTCACAGAGCTAACAAGTGACACTTTGCAGGAAAAGCAGCAGTCTTTTTAGAATTGCCCATTTCCTACTATGGAAACTCAGAGGTTTAGGTATATTTGCTGTTCTTCATGACCCTAGCATTGGCACAAAACATAACCCTGGTCAGCTGGGCACTCCCACCAGACTTTGAATCTGGAGGGAGTATTTGGAAGACAGTCTTCACAGGCGTCTGGCAGCAAGTATACACATCTTCCGTCACTCTTCTCAAGGACAGAGCTCATGTGGGAATTTGGACCACACTTTCCTTTGGCTGACCTGACCTGTGCTGTAGTATTAGGCAGTCCCAAAGACAGGTCTGATTACAAGGGAATCAATCCAACCAACCATCATGAAGAAGGTAGCAAGAATCCTTTGGATTCTTCCAATCCTGTTCTCTAGTCTTTTCATCAAGTCTCTAAGGGACCTGCTACAGTGATAAGATTCACTCCAAGAGCCATTTGTATCATATCAGATAATCATGTCCCTTCTCTTTCAGAATGTCACCCTATGGAGGTAAATGATACACGATCATTTTCCTGATAAATCAGAAATTAAACATTAGATTTTAAGTCAATCACCAAAACACTTAAGCTAGTATTGAAATGACCAAAACCCAGTGAATTATGCTCCTGAGAGCAATTTTCCTTTAAATATAATTTATATGATTATGAATGAGGTTAGGTTGGGAGGTATTTAAACTTAGAAGATCCATATTTCAAACTGAGAACCAACCAATACAAACATGAAAATTATGTAGCAAAAATATGTGGTTGATAATAGATATATTTTCCAACTATAACACCTTTGGTATATTTATTGCTTAGTAATAAAAAATTATCAAAAACATCAATGAAATCCTTTTCAGTACTTGATATATATGAAAGATTAGTATATCTACTTATGGATGAAAGCATAGGCAGCCATTTATCACTTAATGGTGGGAACACATTCTAAGAAGAGATCTAGGTGCTGCGTAACATTAGGGCATGCTTATATAAATGGAGATGGTATTAGCCTGTGGCACACTGAGGCTGAACAGATATGCCACTGTGTAACTCATCCACTGCTGACAGAGTATTACACAGGCCACTACTACATCTCCAAGCATTCTAAGAATAAGCAAAGCATTACAAATATTACTATTCCTCCAGAAAGGCATTTGCTCATTTATTAACATCAGAGGCAATTAACATACTAAAAATAAACATGCACCAATTGTACATAATACAGACGCAACAAAACCCTTTGTCCACTACAACTGGTGAATGTAAACAGCCCTCCCAACCACCCACAGCACATTACTATCCTCACAAGTAAAACAGGAAGGGAAAATATGAACTGAATGCTCTTCAGCACCTTTTGTAACGTCAAAGACTCAACATCTCCATATATCAAAAACATCTGCATCAGTATCACCAAACATGTAAAGTTATCATCTCTCAATTTTAAGTCTATTTACATGACTCTTTAGCTCCATAAATTTTAATAGTATTTAAAAATTATTTAAATTCATAAAAGTATTTCATAAATTTCAACATTTAATTATTACGTACAAGGAACTCTATGAAAAGGGTTAAAGAACTGCTGTGAGAAAATTCAAGCAACATTACTAAATTTAACAAAATTCCAACCAAATCAAGGCAGAGGGCATTCAAAATCTTTATAAGCTCCTAATGAACAAGAAAAGTTCCAGTAATAAAAGTCAATATGAGAAATAATGTTGAAATTACCAGTAAAAATATATATTTAATAAGCATGACATATGTTTAATAGCAACAATAATGATTTTATAGAAAAACCTTTAAAACATTGGCATGTATGAACCACCTGTTTGAGCAAATGTAAAGTTAGTATTTTAGGATTAAAGAGATTTTTCAAAAATACATTTTAGCAGCCATTTTTTACTTCCAGTTAAAACAGAATAAAGTGTTAAAAGTAAAATTTTGTGTCCACTGAAAGCCCCAAATTAGAAAATTTAAAATACTATGCTATTCTAGCAATAACAGCCTTTAATGTGATGTAGTCTGAATAAGGATTGTGGAAGCCAATAAGAAATGATCAGACATACATATGGGATCAAGGTTTCACTGAAATACTTAGGTAGCAAAATATATGAAAAATAGAAAAGTAAAAAGATAAAATTAAAAAAATATTGCACAGCCACATTACCTAGAAAGTAAAGTTGATGTTTAAAAGGCTCTACACATGGATGATATAAATTATCTTCCATATAAAAAGGTATAAATATGTCTTAGAACTTAACATCTACACACTATAATACATTATTTAAACCACTGCTGAATGAGGTAATTAGTAAGTCTTTAATGATGCTTCTGTTCTACTGAAAATATTTGAGGGCAGCAACCAGAAAAAACTTCTCTAAAAATATTTCTGAATCAAGAACAGCTATGTGTGCAGCTCTCCCGATGAGCGAATCAGCCGTGTTGGGCAATGCATTAATGACATTGTATCTGACCAAATTACAGCCTTTGCTTTGCAGCACTGGGCGAAGCAAGTTGTGGATCATTTCTGAATAGATTTGTCCTGTAAAGCAGACAAAAAGGAAAATTATTTGCACAACTGAAAGTCTGTCAAGTTTTCTCTTTAATTTATAAAATTTATATTATTTCCACATAAGCAGAAAAGTATCATTAGATTCCCTTTACTTCAGCTATTATTTTGAGATTGTCTTATAGGAAATATTGGTAGTTATAACGTCTTACCTAGTCAGTTCAAATTTATTATGCAAGATTTTTGTCAATTTGTAGCTCAGAACAATGTATATAAAGCAGTTCTCTTTAAATTTAGTCACTTATAATTTGCTAAGAAAGTAAGCTGATCATGCTAAAACATTTTGATAAGGTAAAATAAAATACTTTATACTGTAGCAAGTACTTTAAAAATAACTGTATGGCAGATAACATTTCTACAAGATTTTGTCAAAGAACAACAACTTCCTTTTGTGAGAACAATATGACCTGGCTTGAAGAGTGTGCTTTTGTGTTCTGAGTGGTTATTTAGCATTTTCCATGCTGTACACCACATATTTAAAGTTTGATTTCTCCACTTTTCTTGCTCTTTATCCTATATTTAAATGTGAAGTTTGACCTGTGTCATATGATAGGAAAACATGTTTTTGAACCTGGCTTATTTCACTTAACATGGTGATCTCAGATTTATCCATTTCATTCGGATGTCATTCTTTTTTACAGTTGAATAACGCACCTCATTTTCTTAATCTCATTTTGAG